CTCCTTGAGCCCTTTATGTCATGTTCCCTCCAGTACTGCAGATGGTGCTTGTATTATGAACTCTAGTCTCTCTGCTCCTCCAGATGGCGCCATCGCCCCATACCATGTTCAGTATCCTGCTCATCAGCTTTGATTCCCCACACCTGTGTTTGACCCTTTAAAAGTCTGTTTGTTCCCTGCTATTGTGTTCAGTCTTGAGCCTATTCTTCCTGAGAATCCAGTTGCCAGTCCTCAAGTTAGGTTTGATTGTTCTTGTATTTTTTGGACCCTTGTGTCTTTTTTTTTGTTTGATGGAAGCTCAGTTTTCTGTTTATTTTGTACTTTGTTTCTCTAGTAAAGATTATTTTTACTTTTTCAAGATTCAAGGCTCTTTTTGCTCTTCTGCTTTTGAGTTTAACTGTCTGGGAGTAGCTCAGTGAGTAATTTCACACTCTTAGAGCGCTAGAGACCCGGGTTCAATCCCTGCTTAAAGCAGCCTTGTTACAGTTTTATGGATTGTAATTGTAATATTATTACTGATATCTTAGTAGTAATTAGTTACACTACTAGTTACTGCACAAAGTAATATTATTACTGTAACTAGTTACTACCCAACACTGCTTATTAGTATGGTTGAACTGGATCATCGAAGGTCAGCAACTAAAAAAAATAATTCAGATATTTTCTAGTAAATTAAATTAATAATAATAATAAGTCGTTACATTTATTTACCAGTTACTTGAAAAAAAATATGATTACGTAACTTGCATGTGTTATGTGTTACCTTCAACACTGGTTGTAGCCTTATGCTAAAATGCTTTCATTTTTCTCTCACAACAATCTACACTCTGTACCCCTTCCTGATAGTGCAAAATCCAGATTTGTGATACTTGGGAGATTGATTAAAAAGTAAAAACTGAAATAATTACACTTAACTCAGTACTTAGTTGAAGCACCTTTGGCAGCAATTACAGCCTCGGGTATTTTTGGACTGGATATGATGCAAAAAGCTTTGCACACCTGGATTTGGGGGTTTCCTGACATTTTTCTCTGCAGATCCTCTCAAGCTCTGTCATGTTTGTTGGGGACTATCATTGGACAGCTATTTTCACGTTTCTCCAGAGATGTTTGATAGGGTTCAAATAAGGCTATGGCTGCCACTCAAGGCCATTTACTGAGTAGTCCCTAAATTGCTCTTGTGTTGTCTTAGCTGTGAGCTTTTTGTAACCCACTCCCGTGGTATAAATTCCGGGTTGACTCTACAATTGGACCAGTGAACTCAAAAGACTAGGTTTGTCCAAAGAGAGAGATGGTGCAACAAGAGTGAACAAATTCAGACAATCAATGTTAGAGGTAAGCGCAAGATTTAACTGTATTGAACACAAAAGAAAATAATTGCTTTCATATAAATGCAGTGACACAGAAATGTTCACGCTATGTATTACTAACTTGTACTTTTTCTTTCTTTCCAGGGATTTGATAGTTGGTTCACTTTGTGGGAAAGGTGGGTTAATTTTCAGTTCAGAATTCAATTAATGCAAATGTCATTCGTTTATGCATTGATTGGGACTATTTAAAATAAACCTCCTGCTGTCTTTTCTACGTCTGAAGGACTTGTTCTTGAAGTAAACGTCTCAGGTTACGTATGTAACCCTGGTTCCTCGAGGGAACGAGACGCTGCGTCGGAAAACTCTAGGGGAACGCCTTCTGTGACCACGCTCTGAATCACATGTGAAATCAGTCCAATAGCTGAGCGGGACGTCACGGGCGGGTGATGTCATGACCAGGAAGCTATAAAAGCACGTGAGGCGGAGCCAGCGTCAGCTTCTAGGAATGAAGCAAGCGCTGGCAGGGATGCCGGAAGTATGGCACCGAGACGCAGCGTCTCGTTCCCTCGAGGAACCAGGGTTACATACGTAACCTGAGACGTTCCTCTTCAGGAACTCGAGCTGCGTCGGAAAACGCTAGGGGAACGAGAATGCCCACGCCGCCAGACTTCCAAGTCTCTGCCTAGTGTGGAAGACTGCACAGCTAGGGCGAGAGAACAGAAGAGCCAGGAGTGGCTCGCATGTCTAGACTGCTGTTTTTGCGTCTCCCTATGTGAGGAGCTGGTACGCGGTGGGGACTGCTGCCGCCCAGCAGCCCCCGGAGCTGAAATACGGCGAGGGAGGAACCGCTGAAATGCCGCCACTTGTTTACGAGCCTCCTGGTCCCTGTCACGACACCTCGGTGTGAAGGTCGGGGAAAAATGGCAGGCTCCGGCATGGAGGTGGCGGCTTCGCGCGCAGGAAGCATTCATCCAACCTGCTTCGCTGCGGCTCAGCCTGCTTCTAGGCGAGCCAATCGATTTTTAATTTGGCCACGGCACGAGTAAGCACCTCCACTAGCTCCTCATATTGGGGCGATTGAGGGGGCGAACACACAACCTATAACGTGGCTTGCACTCGCCCTTTGCATGCTTTGTCTTAGCATGAGCTTTAGACATAGCTGCTTATAGACTTTTCTCTCACAATAGACAGACAACAATAAATATGACTGACACACACAGAGTGCTTCGCTGAATGACAGAAAGCTGACGCTGGCTCCGCCGCACGTGCTTTTATAGCTTCCTGGTCATGACGTCACCCGCCCGTGACATCCCGCTCAGCTATTGGACTGATTTCACATGTGATTCAGAGCGTGGTCACAGAAGGCGTTCCCCTAGCGTTTTCCGACGCAGCTTGAGTTCCTGAAGAGGAACCCTATTTAGTTATCACTCTTTGAACATTAACACTCACAACATCAACACCAAATTCCAACCGGTTTAACAAATTAAAACTAAATTTACATTCTGAATAACCTGTAAACCCAAAGTTCATTCACTACGAAATGGAAGACCTCAAAGTCAATTGTTTCCCCAATGAAAATGACAATCAGTCCATAAATTCAGTTTCCAAAAGAAAGGATCCTTGAATGTGATGTAATTCACAGTCTGTGCATTTGATCCAGGATTAGGACAAAAAAAGAGAGTTTGCTGTCCAATTCCACTCCTACCGTTCGACGACAAGCAAGTTCAGTTCCAGTATCTTTCAACAAGAAGTTCTAAGGATTCGCTCAATAGGTGGCTCACCAGTCCAATCCCACCAAGGTGCATACAGAAAGTGCAGGGAGGAGTTGAGATGATTCACGAAGCACAGTGAATCATTCTGCTTCGTGAATCTTCTCAACTCCTTCCTGAACTTTCTGTATGCATGTACTTTGATCAATACACATCCAGATCAGGTGACATTCAGCAGCTGAACTCCACAAACTCATACAGACATCACAAAAAGGGGGGGAAAAAACTGGCCATAGAATTCACATGTACATAGTCCGAACAGGAAAATTCCAGATCATACGCGTTCATGCGTGTCACTCTCCAACACCATTACTTCTCTCTGATTTCGGAGCACTGAATCTCCTGGGATAGCGAGAAGCATCTGCTCGCATCAGAAGTTAATGGAGAAAAGAAAGATCTCGAACGTGCAGGATTAGAATAATGCCGCGATGGCGGAGATTTAGTGACGTCAATCAAACGCAATCTCACTGGATACTTCACAAGGTGAGACAATGTTATTGGAGATACTTGTAACCTTCGATATTTCATATATATATATATATATATATATATATCCTGACTGGAAATCCTCACAGATACCATTTTTCTCTAAGAAGGAATATAATTGTGAGGATACTACATTTTCTAGTATCTTGGACAGAAAAGGGAGATTCGCGGTCAGTCTGTAATTACATTTACATTTATCAGACACTTTTATCCAAAGTGACTTACAGTGCATTCAGGTTATACAATTGTTTTTACCAGTATGTGTGTTCCCTGGAAATTGAACCCACAACCTTTTGCGCTGCTGGCACAATGCTCTACCACTGAGCCACAGGAACATTATTATGCCACATTAAGCGTTTTGCTGTATGGGAGGACGGTACACTGTACCCAGTGGAAAACCCCCCAAAAGTGAACCGTACCGAGCCGTACCGTGCCGTACCATGCAGTGGAAAAGCGCCACAAGTGATGTCAATTGCGGAAGCGCAAGTATCTGAGAGTGCAAGTCTGAGAATGCAAGTCTGAGAGTGCAAGTGCAAGTCTCCAGCCAGACCCTTCTCCAAAAATTTCCCACAGCACGTTGCTACCACCACCATGCTTCACTGTTGGGATAATATTGCGCATACAGTGGTGCCTGGTTTCCTTCAGACAAGACTCCTGGAAATGAGGATTATCAGACCAGAGAATCTTGTTGTCACAGCAAGAGTTTTTTTTAACCAAGCAGACATTCATGTGTCTTCATTGAGAAGAGGCTTTGGGCCATTCTGTCATAAGGCTAATTCACACCACACCGACAGACACTGATCAATGCCAACAGTCACCAGATTACAGTATGGCACTTCTCAGACATTCTAATACATGACAAACACAGATTCAACATGTTCAATCAGCAAAACCAAGTAACGACCAACAGCAAAAGGGTAACACATTGATTCGCCAAACCCTGATAAACATGTCTGTTGCCGTTGGTTGTATCTGTCACTGTGGTGTGCCCTGGCCTATATATAAAGTTCAGATTGGTGGAGTGTTTCAGTGATGGCTGTCCTTCTGCATGTTTCTCCCATCTCCACACAGATCTTTGGAGCTCAACCACAGTGACCATCAGGTTCTTGGTCAACTCTCTTACCAAGGCCGGTCGGGTGGCCAGCTCTAGAAAAGTCTAAATCTTATTATTCCAAAGTTCTACTAATTATTTCATATGTGAAAAAATGACTTTTCACTAGGCTGCAAAAGAAAAAAAAAAAAAAGATATGACAAACAAGGGTTCTGAATACCTTCTGAATGCTCTGTGATTTAAAATCTGGACACACCTGCTCTTCTCTTTCTCTTTTCTAACGATGCTTATTTTTAAATGAACTTGATTTGCATATTTTCTGCAGAGGAACCACAGCACCTGAGTGTTTGCTCTTTCTTGTATACATACTCCTTCATTTTTCACCAGCCAATCAACCTTCCCAGAAGGTCTGCGTGCCAGCCTACTTGTCTCATGCTCCGGTTTCTGGACTTCCTAATAGTGTTCTAACCTCAGACTCTGCCACAGGTGAGATCTCAAGGAGCAGTTTGCTCATATGTTCCCAATATGATGGAATTCTTTCTCATTTACTGTCACAATAACATAACATGATTTGATTTCCATTGTTAGTGCAAAGGGCCTTTTGGTGTGTAATATTTGTGCTGGGTGTCATCTTGGTTATTACTGGTGGGTTCATCACAATTTGTGCAACCCCAGGGACCAGCCATCGCCTTTATGAGACTGGAGGGGCTCTCTTTATAACCGGGGGTGAGAAAATAGTTGCCAAAACATCCAATTGCCAGTGATTCTATAGTGATTTTGCTGAAACATTCACTCTTTTTCTCTTCTTTCCCATGCAGGTATCTTAATCATGTCTGTAGTGATGCTGTTTGCTGTGTGGGTGCAGGTCTCAGACTCTTTAGAGCGGTACGGCCTCCAGCGCAGGCGCTTAGTGTGCCCCAGTCTGCAGCTCAGTGTGCACTATGGTCCGTCTTTTATGCTGGCTCCCACTGCTGCCTTCCTCTGCCTGCTCACTGGCCTGCTTCTCCTGCTTATTCCATCAGTCAGCAAAGCATCAGCCAGAGACACAGAGAATCAGCCATTCTCACTGCGAGAGGAATGCGTGTAGAGTTATGTATATATGACAATGATACTTTCCCAATGTTTAAAGTAATTTTTTTCTGTTATCATTTACTCCCCCTTTTCTGAATGTGTATAGTTTTCTGCCCTCCATATACCACAAAAGGAGATTTAGGAGGATATTTTACATGAGAATATAATTGAAAGTAATCACATTGTGATCAAATTTTCATTAAAGCAATAATTAAATGTATCTGGGGGCCACAAGGGGGTGTTACAGGGTTTACAGAAAAGATTTTATAAATATCAATGATAATTTCATCAGATATGCTAAATTTGTCTTTATTATCACTATTTCAAATAGCTTTTAAAGGTGGGAATTTTTCACTTTTTTATTCTACTGACAGCCACAGCTCTGAAAAGCTCCTAGTTACCATTCACGTTCACTGTATGAAAAAGAGCAACCCCAACATTTTGCTTTTCATTTGCAAAGAAAAAAAAAATGTGATAACTGAATGTTATTTTTATTACCAGATGAACTATTTCTTTAAGACTCTTAAAAGGTCATAATCAGATACAGGTGAACATTCTGATTAAGCACTAAAATTGCAGAAACTATAGAAACAGAAAAAGTGGAGAAACAGCCTAAATACACACACACACAGTATCTATTTTGAAAATATTTGCATGTATTTACATGTATATATTTATATTCATATAATTCATATTATATATTCATATATTTAATATATAAACATAACATATTTTTCTTAAATATATACATGCATGGGTGTGTATTTATATATACATAATAAATATACACAGTACACACATATACTGTAAACAAAAACTTTTATTTTTTTTTGCGATTAATCGGTTGACAGCACTAATTATAATATAATTATTATGGAAATATATATAAAATATACATAACTTGATATATCCTCCTTACTACCAGCTATGGAGTTTTGTCCTCTATAGTGGACATTCTTTTTTAAAGATTTCTCTGAGACCTTACATGTCACAGTTTTAAGTCTGGATGTCCTGTAAAGAGCCATTCAGGGCTTTAGATATCAAATGTTTGGAAGTTTCACCAAGACCACTCCCTCTGCTTGGTCTTTAAATATGGCTGATAATTTAGTGATCAAATGCAACACCCTTATGGAAATATGATAATATTTTTGTAATGATCATTTAAATCTGACTAATTTTCCAATTGTTTGTCATAAATCAACATCGCAGGAAAATATTATGGGCTTTCAAATCAAAATAAAATATGACTTTCTGTTATGAAACAGGATATCAATTTCATACATGTCCACTGTAGAGGACACCAAGCATGTTTATTAGGCATTTTAGGAGACACAACAAATGAATAAATATATCCCTATGAAATATTATTTATTATTATGAACATCATACTCGCCAATTATTACTCCCACTATTACACTTATTTTTTCATTATACGTTGTCCCAAAAACACATTAATATGCAAATTAGATACAATTTATAGATACATTGTATATAAGTGGAAAAACTGTTCATGGACATTTTGCATAAAGAAAAGTGGTATATCAAATCCTTCTGTTAAATCTTTCATAACATAGTTGAGAATCATCTTTATATAAAGTTTGGTATAAAAAATAAAATGTATTTGTGATTAAAACAAAAATCCTACTGTTCCCTTTCATGGGAACTTCGAACTGTGTCCTCTTGCTTCCCACGATTCAGGACCCGCCGCTGCTGAGGCACGGAAGGGAATGAGCTCGTGGCGATCGCAGGTGGATCTGGCCGATGAGTTTCGTTTTTGCATTTTCATGTCTATTCATGTCTTTTTATTTTTTTTAAAACAGGACTTTTTAAAGTCCTGGTGTTCTCTACAGAGGACATAGCATAACATATGAATAAAATATCAATATCATTTTTTAAAACTCTAAACAATGTAATGACATGAAAAAAATACTAAATTCACAAAACCTTTTTTTCCTGGTGATATAGTAACATTGTGTCACATCTATGTATGTATGTATGTATGTATTATATTGTTCAGAGAACAATAAATTTGGTTTTACTTAGATTTTAATTTGTGCAAAAGGAAAATATACTTACATTTGAGGGTGCATCTAAATTGATTAGTGCATAAATATGGCCTCTGTCTTATAGAAAGTAACCACTAGAGAAAGTAACCACTAGAGAGCAGTGTTGCTTCAGATCTTGAAAGCTGTCACAATTATGGAAGAAGCGCTCACCCTAGGGAACTGTGGGACTTATCCAAAAGCTGATCCCAGATAGCTGAAACAACAGTGCTGAGATTGAAAAATAAATCACTGTTTTATGAATAAGACACGGGAGCTCAGATAAAAACTGTACATTTGAAATAAACATGAATCAAATTGGCACATTTTGATCAAACCTCAGTGTTCTCCATTTCCCTCTACAGTCATTCTTGCATGAAAGAATTACAATACATTCGTTGGGTCTATTGTCACACCTTTATAATTGGAAAAGGCAAACAGACCCGAGATGTTGCGAGAGATGGTGGAGTTTGACTTAGATGAAGTGAAGCGCCTCATCAGCGCAGATCTGTCTTTAATGTTTGACGCAACGCGCCGCACTGTTAATCCGAGTCGCGAGTTTGGCGCGTATAATTACACCTGGACCTGTCACATCCGCTTCCGCCGCCGCAACCAACTTAAACATCTCTGTCAGTCCCGACCCTCGTCAAACCACCGCAATGAATTGATGTTTTAAGGTAGGTTTTAATGAATAAGGGGGAGTCGGATTCGGTCATATCACCTCAGATTAAATTTTTTTCTTTCTTCCACGGCGTCTGTTGGCAGATTCATTACCGGTGCTTGCCCACAACCCCCCGCACGATATTTTCCCCAAACGGCTCGACTGTCACCCGCACGGCTCGCGCAGTTGTTCGTCCCCCTCATCACCATCTTTGTCCCAGAGAGATAGAACTGTCCAAAACAATTACCCCAGGAGCTTTAATGACAAGCAGTGAAGCATTTTAATCTCTTCGCACTTTATCTTGGAGGTACCTACGGTTAAAAGAGGCGACTAGACGCAAATACTTTAGACTAAACTCGCTCGCACAAATACATAAATAAATAGAACATGCCAAAGTTTACTGCAAAGCAAGCAAAAAGGCCTCTTAAAGTTGGTGTCCCTCTCATTTGTGTGAATGCGGACATGAATGAAAAATGTTTAATGTTAGCATGAAAAATTTGGTAACACTTTAAGGTGTCCTTGTTACACGTTACATGTACTTAATATTATAATAACAATATGCATAATTACATGCAATAAACCAGACCCTAATCCTAATCCTAACCATATAGTAAGTACATGTAGTTAATATTACTCAGTATTTAAATGTATGATTACACTGTAACAAGGACACCTTAAAATAAAGTGTAACCACAAATTTAAATCAGTTAGGCTACCTTTTTAAAAGAAAATCCAGTATTTATTATTGTCCAATTAAAATAGGCTATATAAAAATGATACATTTTTGCAACAAAGATAGTTATGTGTGGCACTTAACACTTGTGGCAATTAACATAATATTTATGTAGCCTATTAATTCTAGGTATTTGTAAAAAATAAAAATTGATTTAAAAAAGTAATAAGATGCATACACTCACATATATTCAAGGTGTAAGGAAATATGCCATTATGTTATTCTTGATGGTTACACCATATGACATTTTATTGTGACAATTAACTTTAAACTGCACTCCATATGATTTTATTCAATGCAGGCCAAAGTCCAAAGACCGCTTGTATACGTGGCTCTCATTTTTTGGATCATACTATTCATCTGGACACACCCAGGGGGCACAATTACCTCCTACACATGCTAGCCAAGAAGAGAAAATTACTGTTTCTGGATTCAAGACCTCTCAACCAGGGGACCTGGTGTTGGACCACTGTCCCCTCCACAATTATGCTCCCTTCTTCCTTTGAGTGCTGCCTGTTTATGAGTAGGCCCTCCGGAGGTCATATTCTGAGATGATGCTTTGTCTGGGCTTTTGCTCAAAGGGCCTGGGGCCTGGCATGTTGTCTCTGGAGAGGGCATTGGATGACTGCTTTTATATTTTCAGGTAGGAAAACAGACAGTTGATTTGAATCAAATTCTGGGGCCACAATCGGCAGTGCTGTGAACGTCTTCTGCATTGTGTGAATCCCACTTATATCTCATTTACAGAGAACTCTTCAGCAAAAGGCTGTTCTTTAAGTTTCCAACGATGCCAGCCAGCTCTCTCATTCCTTTGGCTATTCTCTGTTTCTCTCTCTTTTTTGCGCACTCGCTCTGGCCAACTCTTTTAGGGTCCATAATGAGTTCTGTGATTGCTGTGCGCCCCTGTGCCCCATGCTTCCCCTCTCTGCTCTGCGGCAGGTTAATGAGGATCGGAGAGATCAGCATGCCGCTGTTAGACATGTCACATGCTGAGGTGTTGAACAAACCCCTGTCCATCTTTGGCACTGAGCCTGGCAGTGTTAGACATGTCACATGCTGAGGTGTTGAACAAACCCCTGTCCATCTTTGGCACTGAGCCTGGCAGCCCCTCCTCTCTTTTACCCCGCCAGTGCTGCCCGCTACTCTTTTTAGGAGAGATAATATTTACATACTGTATGTAGTGCATCATATTGTACTTTCTTTGTTTCCTTTTTCCTTATCTTTTTGTCTTCTAATCATTTGAATTTGAAAAGTCTGCTCAAATCTCTCCTCTTATTTCTATAATCTCACTTGGTTATATTACCATTAGGCCCCAAATGTTACTAAAATTTATTTCCAAACATTCCCAAATTTAGGATATTAGAAATAAATATGGATGCAGCAGCTGTAGTGGTGCTGATGGTTTAATGTCAGTTTGTAAGAGTTAATGACATGACAGTCCTTTTTCGTCTTAATCTATTCGAAAATAAATAAATGATGCAATTCATACATACAATTACTTTAATACACCTTTTATGTTTTTAATTTATAGACATTAATGAAGAGAAAGCCTAATTTAAAGAATGAAACACTTGTAAACA